TTCACAAACAATAAAGTTTCTCTTTATTATAGTAAGATAAACAGAAGAAGGAAGAAAATGCTGAAATCTTGAACAGACGAAAATGCATGGAATATGGGTAATTATTTTAGAATATAAACAAATACTTGCAATAATACGCTGATTTTGTCTTTTAAATACCTTTGTCTACTAAATGATTTACACAACAAGTATATTCAGCAATTCTGCTTTATTTCAAAGATGGAAGCATGAAAATGATCATTTGGTCTTCATTCTTCCTTTGCCTTTTTTCCGCTTCTCTTAAATGTTACTACAGCTGAACACATTGAAGCAATATCTTTTTGTTGCCTGCTTAGCATATTTGACTTTCTCCTGTCATGCACAAACAACCTCCAGCTGATACAAAGCCGTATTCTGCTTAAAACAATTGAGGCTCGTGCTCCTTCAAGTAACCAGAAAAAAAGTCAAAGACAAAAAGACCCTGCAGCTGTCTCCAGACAAAATAAATGACTTCCGGGCCTGGAGGAAGGACTCAGCATTCGTTTCGCACTGAAAGGGGTATTGTCCTTCCAAAAGCACAATATCTTACAGCACTTATTTGTGCTTAAAGTGTTTTTTTTTCTTGTCTTGCCTAAGGAATTGTTGATGTTCAAATAAAAAAGGAAGTGCACCCACCCTGCTGGAATTTTAAGGAATGTCTCTAGCCTGGATTTTACTATTATTGATAACTTTAAACAAAATTCAATGTTTTACTGACAAGGTACTCAACATCCCAATGCATTTTGAAAACATTCTGAATGCTGGCTGAGATTTTAATATTCAACATCCTGATTCATTAACATTCTATTCCAGTGAACAATACTGACTGGAGAGTCTTTGACACTCAAGATACTCACATCAAGGTCAGTAACTAAGAAAATAAAATCTGCATTCCACTCCTGGATTCAATCTGCATGAGGTTTCTTTTTTTTTTTCTGCCGTATGTAACATCCCTGAAGTTTTTTTTTCCCTTCATCGTTGAATATTCAAAGGCAGCACTTTAAAAAGAAAAGGCTTTAAAATAACAAGATGCCGTTAGATCTCTTTATTTAAAATTTAATTGGAACTTAATATTACCCAGGTGAATAATTGACTTGGTTAAAGAAGTTAACATTTTTCTTGGCTGTTATACTATGACAGGATACACCAGGGTTTCAGGCTGAAGCCTGTCAATAGCATATGGCTTGTTATTGTGAGCTATCGACTACCGCTGTCTCAAACATGGCGACAGAACACGAGAAACCATTTCAAATCTTCTTCCGACACACCATACAAAGGAAGCAAAACACTGCAAGTGTTAGCGCTGCGTGTCAGCAACAAAAGACAGAATGCAAATGCCGCTTATATCAACAGTGGGCATCTGTAAGGCAGACACAAAGCCCAATTAAAATACATACAGAATCAACCTCAGCTTTTGTGGGTGTAAATGATGCTCCATCAAGATGTCATTACAACACCATGTTCCCACCCACCTCCATGTATCTCCTGCTGCCCGTCCCTAAAACTGGAAATGTCAGACTATTTTATTACCAACGTGAGCTGCTCGCCTTGAGGTCAACCAGAAAACCCTCAGGGAATTTTCAGATTGTTGGTTGGGATGTAGCAGGTCAAACAGTTTGAAAAGAGAGATTTAGTTTAACATCTATTAGCAAAACCCAGTACAGCACCCGTGAGTATTCCCATTAGCCTGTCAGTGCTGATTTATTTTATGGGAAGCTCTGTTTAAGTCAGCTGTAGCATTGCTTGAACATCTAAAATCAATAATAGCAACAATGTTCGATTAACCATGTATATTATAAAGATATCATGCTCGCCTGTAGTTACTGCTTTACAGAAACTGTAAGACACTACTATTCAAGAAGAAAAAATTAACAGACTAACACAACGTGATAGTTAGAAGATCCTTTTAAATTAAAAAAAAAAACCTTTGGCATTAAAATCTTTGATCTCTTTGCAGGATTTTCACAGGTAAAGTGACCCTTCAGACAGTACTGTCATATTTTTAGAGATATGTTTTATATTAACTTAATTTGTATGTTGTTCCTGCAGTTCCTACATGAAAAGGTAATCACATAAATCAATGTTAAAAATCTGCTTAAATTATTCCTAAAATCCTTTGAAAACACAGGTGTTGAATATTAGTGAAAAGCTTCATCCACAGCCTCATTTCAGAATATTTGCAAGTTGTGAGCTAAGAAATCATTAAATGCTTTAGACATAAATTTCAGTGTACACAAATCTATACATGCAATTGTCAAACTGGTCAAGAAACATCTTTTTAAAAATATCTTTCATAAAACGTCTTAATATACTAGATGGCAAAAGAGTTCTACAGAGCTCACAGGTTAGGAAAGATCCTCAAATGCCTTGTCAGATGTATAACTGGATGAACAAAAAGATTTAAATCAAGAAATTAATTTTCATTGGCTGTATAAAAAAGCATCATGGTCAAAGAATTGCATAGAAAAGCAATTCTGATCTTATTAAACGCAAGGCGAAATGATATATTAACACAGTGCTCTTTACACTGCTCGGACATTGCCTGCTGAAATGAAGTTCCTGCTGCACTCAACCCTGATCACATTGCTGCAGATGTCAAATATAATGTGTTGTGATGTGGGAGTACACATCCCTGGTATCGGCTGTGAAACTGGCGATTGCGGAGCAATCCCTCAAATAGGAATGTGGAAAAACGCATTGAAATCCGCCATTGTATTTCTTTCCCCTTATCCAAAAGTCCTTTTCTAACATGCTCCCTTACTTTTGTGTCCAAAGAGCGCGGAATGAATGAAACCAGCTTACCTTTTTACCCGTCACTTACAGTAAATGCATCTATGCATTCTGTATGTCATCTATTTTAAGTAACCGTGCCAAGAAACGTAGCTGGTCATCAAGGACACCAAAAAGCAGACTTGCACATGAAACGGAAAGCGGGAGAAAAATAGAGGAGTGAGAAACCACTAAGTGACAAGGGTTGTGGGTTTAAATCCCAGAGGAGGAGTACAGCTGGAAAACTCCATCAACCTCCCTGCACACATGGACACTGTGGATGTACAGTACCAAGATATGGATTCCCCAAAAAAAAACACATTTAAGAAATTGAAACACCTTTAAATCAATCTGGATTAAAGAGTTCGCCTGATATTATCACAATATAAACATTTCACCAAGCAACTTGTGGAAATTATGCCCCAAATGGCTAGCAGTCTAGCTTAGATGGAACTTCTAAAGCAATGACTATGAGTTTTTTTAGGAAAAAATCCCCCAAGCAAAATAGAATGTTAATAATAATAATAATATTATGATCACCATCCAGTTTAGCAATAATTACAATAGCGGATGTCTGTCAAAGGTATGAGAGCAATATGTGTTATTTCTGAGGATTGTGATATATAATAACTGAAAATTATATACCATATTCAAGTTTCTTTTAATCTCAGACACATGACTGGATCATAATTACATGCAGGTATAGTGATTCCCGTGTTAATGGGAATAACCCTGCCTTGATTGAATTTATTGCCAGCCCATTATTCTGTTAAACCCAACCCAGCAGTAATTGCTAGTATTGTAATTTTCTAACCTTGAGTGTGAAAGCATTTTTTTTAACATTGCAAATAAGATCTCTATGAATGGGAAACAGTCTCTACATGGGTTTACTGCAATATTGTTACTAATTCTTACTAGATTCAAGGGGTCACATAAAATAGAAGTTCTGTACTTGATCATGTTTTCAAACGGAAATTTCCAAAGGTTCGGTTTTTGCACTGTGTTTGAAAGTAGTGCCAACCTTCCCCTAATTGTAGCAAACACTGTATGTCAATATTAATATTAAGAACTACACACTCCCAGTTTGAAACAGTTTTGAAGGCAGTGGCTGTATCATTTCTCTGGAGACTGTAAGCAAACAAGCACCTCTAATTATGTCTGCACTACATGAGCCTCACTGCATAGGCTGCAGAATGTCAGGCTATTACTTTAGTCAAAGTTCCAAATGCTTAAGATAATGACCAGTTACTAATTGGTGCTTATACCTTAAATCGGTTTATACGGAATATAATTGCAGCTATTATGGTATTAAATAATCCTTGAAATTAGCATGTACTGCTTTAGCAATGCTTTTCGCAGTGCTTCGGGGGGAAAAAAAAAATAATGGTAGTAGCAGAGTTTTCAGGGGTTTTGGAACTGCACCTCAATCAGGAAAAAGCCTGTTTTGGAGGGGTGGGGGCTGGCTTCCATGTACCATGCAGAACCTTAGTGACATTGTAGATTCAGACTTTGATGAGAACCCCCCCCCCCTCAGAAAACAGAAAAAAACAAAACAAAAAGGGGACATTACATTCAGATCACATTTCCAGGGCTAAAGGACCATGCTTTTGTGTCACCCCTTCCGTCAGCTGTTGACTTCCTAAGTGTCTCAGACAGCCACATGTCTGTCTGCAGCCCTCTCCAATGGCTTGTCCTGGTCACATTTCTTGAGACTGCTGACTGCTAATGGGCCCGTCCTGACAAAGAAACACTTTGAACAGGATGCGGAGCTGGGCCTCCAGCCAGGGTGCTGCGGCAGAGGAGGGCGGCATGGGGCTAGGCCCTGCAGCCGGCACTGCCTGCCTCTCTGCACCCATGTCACGCTCGCATGACAACCGCTCCTCTGTGCCTGTTTGAACTGTCCCTCCCAATTAGCGGTAATAAGTGACTCTGTAAGGATGAGCAAACATAGTAGATTCGCCCCCCCCACCCCCCAGCTCCCCACGCCTAGCAGCCCATGAAAATCCCAAGAGCGCAACCCTGCTAATAGAAAGAGAAAGCCCAAAGCTTCTCGTTCTGAGCAAACAAGTGCTAGCAAAGAGGCAAATTAATGACAACTCATTTGAAGAGTTTGCCTGAAATTATTTTACCCCTGTCTTTCCACTGAAGAATTGATTAGTATCTGCTCGATCAAAGTGTCTGAATCAATAAAGAGATGCAATGAGCAGAGAAGGCATGGTCTAGGCCAATTTATTCAGCGCATTTTTTTTTTTTAGATGGAAGAAAAAGAGAGGGGCTGTATTCTACAGAGTGCAAATAACTAGGCCTGTTTAGAGGGAGAGCTAATGATAAGCTCTGGGAAGCCAGTGCGTTCGTCCATCTCTCGGGTAAACTGCAGATTGCTCGCCTCGCCGATGATAAGCTCGGCAGTCGTGAACACTTCCAAGTTGCCCATTGCGTGTCCCCCTATAGTTTTGCCATCTTTGTCAGCCAGACAGACATGCAGGTGAGCCTCTTTATTCAGGGTGCCAACCAAGGAGACAATTTCAAGTCTTTCGCTGAGATGAATGATCTGAAAAGAGAAACAAAGGAAGAGAACCCATGGGAAGCAAGGACTCTTTCAGCCTCCTAAGCCCTGTGCTAGTTCAGGAAAGAAATAATTTGCAAGTGGGTCTGTAACCTTTTTTCACTTACTGTGACATGCCCTCAAATACTTGATAAATGATATGTTTCATGGTCATGGTTTGGGGAACATTTTTTATTTTTTGGAAAAAACAAAATAAAAAATAAGACACAAAAAAGTAGACTTGTCTCATTGTGCACCGGTGTCTTGGTAGCAGGTATTCTAGCAATAGCCACTTGAATTCAGTGTTTGAGAGTGTTTATTAAAGAGCATTGAACCCTTGTTTCTGACTTAAAATAAGTGATTATCAACAGTCACCTTTTAAAGTATGTTCATGTGTTTCTGATAAGAATAGTACAACCGTAACACTGTAGGCCTCATTGTTATAGTGATTCATAAAAATTAGATAACTTAGTTCATTATTATGCTTCATCATTAAGCTTCCTTTTCTGTTAATTAAAAGTACAAAGAAAAATTCCTTGTTGGTAAATTACTTTTCTGGATTATTTACATATTAATTAATTACTGCACTTCTCTATTTAAGTTCTATAGCCAAACAAATCTGGCTATGGAGTGCCAAATTTTTACTGAGAATTTTTTTTTTAATTGAGAGCAATTTACTGAGAAAAACATGCAGTGTGAATTAATTAAACTTGTCACAGTATGATACTGGTCAACGTCAAGATTATCCCCTCACAAAATCACTATTATTCACTAATGATTTTTATTTTTTAGTGAATAAAATATATTTATCCCAGTTTCCTTCTTGCTCATGTTTCCCATTTTGTTTCATCATCTTAATGTTGAAACTCCATTTTGGAAAATATATACAGTACATTTACAAATTGTTCTAGAAATATATGACATTTTATGTTTGAAAAGTGTTTTTTGCCATTTTCCAAGTAAATCACATTTTAGCCCCGTTCTGATCTTCGCGGGATGTTTGTCTTGAAAGAGTAGCATAACCCTTAAAACAATCCCGTCTGAGCTATACAAAGCAGACAGGATTAAAGGCAGCTTTCCCTGTTTTAAATGTGCCACTGAAGATTAGACCCTTTGCCAAAAAAATAAAAAGAGAAAAACACTATGCAAAAACTTAATTGATTTCCTTTCGACTGTTTACCTCCACAGCTGACTCCTAGAGCACAACAACAGTGGCCTTACTGCCGCCAACAGCCCTGCCAAGTACCTCATTAGTATTCGAAGCAGTGGCATTTGCCAGCCTGAGCGTTGCCTTGGCGACGCTGCCCACACAAGTGATGATAAATGGGGCTTTCAGCTTCTTCTTCTCCACGAAAGTGACCAGGGAGCTCAGGAGGTCCTCCCCAGGACCGAGGCGCAGCGCGTAGACTGACAGAGCAGAGGGTCCAGCCTGGGGAGGAAGAAGGGGAATAATAATAATAATAAATAAATAATAATAATAATAGAAGGGAGACACAGTGGTTAGCACTGCTGCCTTACAGCACTGGGGCCTGGGTTCAGTTCTGGAGCAGGGATGCTATCTGTGTAGAGTTTCTCTGTTTCAGGCGGTGCAGGGACATGATCATGTACACCACCTTAGCTGGGTCAGAGGGAAAGGAAGAGGGTCCCATGGAAAGAACTGAAGTCGCAAATCCTCTGCAGCCGTCAGGGTCACAAGAGCAGGGAGGAAAAGGGCACCCCTGAAGGTTCACTGTGAAAGAGCTCCCCCAGAGGCTGTGCTGCAGCGTGCTGAGGTAGACGACAGTGCCACAGCTGATGAAGAAGCTACTGTACATCTGTTACAATGCACAGTGGCTAGCATTTGCTGCATGCTGGTCATGGCAGCACACAAGTCCTGAAAATGCCTCCTTAGGCTCAGACACATTAGGCACCTGAGTCCCGTATAGCAGACTCCTTGCAAAGCCAGCGCCTGCAGGATTTTCTCTGTGCCCACTGTATTCTTCTTGTTTGGCTCAGCCATTAGGTGACCTGAGGGACGCAGAACCCTGGCTGAATACAACCACAGGGCTCAATGATGGAGAGACAGGCGCTGATGGTAGAGAAAACATCCAGAAATCGTACTCAACATAGCAGGGTTTGAAGCTGGGGAGACAAGAGGAGACAAGCCAGGGGAATCCAGGAAAACTCAGCAGAGGCTGGTATATGGCGAGCTCGGTAAAAAGCAAGCAAAGCGAGAGGTCACTAGCAGAGCAAGCAAGAACATGGCTGAGACAGTGGAAAACCCAATGACAGAGTGCTGAGCAAGGGCTGTCTGGACTTGGGATGGTGCTGTTATCAGCACACTTTGACCTGTCCTGGTCATAAAAGCCTTTAGCTCTTTCAACGTTGTCATTAGTTCCTGTATAGCCTTTCCGATCAGTCCCCTACTTGTATGGTCATCCAGTCTGAAGCAACCAAATGATCTGTGCAGGGACCTGATGGTGCCATTTGCCTTCAATTTCTTAATAATGGTCATGATCATGCTCCAAGGGACATTCAAGGCCTTTGATTTTTTGTACCAATCCTCTGATCTGTGCCTTTCCATAGCTTTGTCCCAGAGCTCTTTTGAAGGCTCATAGGTGCTCAAGGTTGAATGCTCTACAAAGCAAAAGTTAGCCTATGGGAACTGCTGCATTTATCTTGGAATGATGAGAATCACTGCAATTTAACAGAGGTGGAGGCCAATTAACTTGCTGTGTAACTCTGAAGGAGACTGGTTATACCTGAACTAGTTTAAGTTTACTCTTACAAATGGTCTGGACACATCTAACCAAACTATTTCAGCTTCTATTCTTCATTAATTTTCTTTCATCTAGAATACATATTTCAGTTGGAAGTTGTGGGATTGGATCTATAAATACATAAATAAATATTTTAATGCATTTTAATTGCAGGCTATAAGGTAACAAAAGGTTAAAATGTTGACTGGAATGTATGAAGTCCATGTGTGCAGTTCATGAGGAGATCTGATATGAGTATTTAAAATCCTTACAGGCATTGACAAAGTCAGCTCAGCTGGTTTCTTTAGAACGAATAGTGAAACAGAAACCAGAAGGTATAAGTGAAAACTGCCTAAAAATGCATTTAAAACTGAACTGAGAACAGGAGGCATTTCTCTACCCAAATAGATATAGGGCAGTGGAACAAGCTAGCCAGCCATGTCGTTGAAACAAATATCCTGTTTTTTTTCAAGAACTGCTTGGATGAGATCATTCGATTTCATAACTACTGATTACTATCTGAGATACAGTAGATGGGCTTCTCATTTGTAACCTTTCTTATGTTCATATGCTTAAGCTGGCAATCCAAATCTGCCCATATAAAGTAGTATCATCTGGTATTAATTTTGGCACGGAGGAAAGAATACAGTGGCATGAAGAAATATACAAAGATATAGAATATATAAAATCTAGAAAAAACACAAAAATCAAAGACTAAGATACAAATGCATATCTAAGTCTTTCCTATTGTCTATCTTAAGCAAAGTTGTAAATATGAAAACCAAGCTTGAAGTCAACACAGACATGCCCAGAAACCTACATGAACTACCAGGGAAGAGAATTTTGCTCAAACCAAAATGCCAAGGAGAATAATATCAGAATTAAATTCCGCATGTCTTATGTTAAAACAAACTGGAACAAGTGTACACTAGTACAAAGACATGTAAATGAGGGACTGTTCACTGGAAGGTGAAGGTGGAACCCTGGTACATGCCAGGCGTAAGAAGATGAGGCTCAATTATGCAAAAGAAGTGGCTCAAGGCCACAGATTGTGTGTTTGTGCTTTTTGGTGAACAAATCAAAATCTAAGAGTTGGGCTCAAATTGATCAAAATATGTAAATGAAAAATAGATCAATCAATGGAAATAGAAATGGATTAAACAAGCATTTCATATGCTTACTATGTTTTAGGCATCTGTCTCACTTTAGACAGAAGAGCGGTGGCTCTGTGGCTCAGGATCTGTGCCTGTGGCTGGAAGGTTGCTGGTTCAAATCCCATGGCTGGCAGAGGAATCCTACTCTGTTGGGCCCCTGCGCAAGGCCCTTAACCCCAACTGCCCCAGGGGTGCTGTACAATGGCTGACCCTGTGCTCTGACCCCAAGCTTCTCTCCCTGTCTGTGACTCATGGAGAGCAAGCTGGGGTATGTGAAAAGATGAATTCCTAATGCAAGAAATTGTATATGGCTAATAAAGCGATCTTATCTTACATTAGCAATTTTGTGGAAATATCAAGTTACTTGACTGACATTCAGACTATTCACAATCACAATGTTAGTTCTGAGAACGCATTAAAGACTACTTAAGCTGTAATAAATATCAGTAATAAAACACCTGACCAAACAGGTCAACAAGTTTTACTTCATTACATCAAAAATAAATTGTATCAACATCAGTAGCGAAACTATTTCAATAAATCATAATACAGTGCCAGTCTGTAAAGATTAGGTAACGAGGAATGACCTATCAAAATATTTTAATACATTTCAGGACATCAACGGACAACCACAAAGTAAAATTTGTGTATGTATTTATATTAGACGAATATGTTGAAACCAAAACAGTGTAATTAAAGCTTTATTCAAATCTGTGCACGCTTCACAAATTGCTTTCAATACACACAGGAAATAACCTGCATATTTTTCACGTACTTACATACCTCAGAACTATATGACTGACATTTTATTTAATGCTCAAAAGACTATATTTCACAGCATGCACAATTCCACAAAGAAATGGAAAGACGTGTCACAAACTCTGTTTAGCATGTATCAGAACTTGGCTTGTTTGACAAACTAATTTGAGCTGATATTAAGTGCATAAGTGGGAAACTTATAAAATCTATAAGTCTTGATCCGTTGTTTATATATTATAATTCTAGATTCATAGGTCACTGATGCAATTTATTAATTTGTCCACCCAGGGTAACTAACCTAAAACAAGACATTTTGACTTTTTATGTATAAGGTTGTGGAAACAATATTTAGAGCTAAAGTGTCACCTTGTATGAAAATAAGATCCTAGGGATGTTCAACATGAATTTAGAAAAGTAGACCTTAACTAACTTGTTAGATTGCTTTGAACAAGCAAGAACAGTAATGGATATGACGAGATACAGTAATTAGCCCTCTTCAGCTATATATCTAGTAATTTCCATCGGATGGCCAAGACCAGAGAAAATATACTGTAAGTATGAACCAAGATTAGGTTTACTTATCATGTCAGTGACCACAGGAAAAGACATGAATCAAACCAGTTTTGCGGCTTCCTGCATAGTGTTTCCAGACAGAATTGAAGTTGCATTTTTTACATTGTTGCCAGTATAAAAGACCAGAGTAACACAAAGCAGATGTCTGCATGCATAACAAAAGGATAAGTGGTCAGATGAAATAAAACTGAAACTTTCTGGTTTTAAGGTAGTTACCTCTGGCACGAACCCAACACAGCACATTATAACGTCAACACTGTCCCTACTGTCAAACATGGTGGTGGCATCATTACGCCCTGGGACTGTAAAGCTTGTCAAGATGGAGAGAAAAATAGATGAAGCGAAGTACAGTACTGTAAAACTAAGGGAAAACCTGTTCAGTCTACTGGAGACCTAAGCTGGATGAGCATTCACATTTCAACAGGACAATGACCCAAAGCACAAGGTCAACGTTACAAAAGAGTGGCTGAACAAGAAGGAAGTAAGTGGCCCAGTCAAAGCCCTGACTTGAACCCAGAAGAGAATCTGTGGCAAGACTTGAATATTGCCGTCCATCAGCAAACCCCAACCAACTCGACAGAGCCTGGGCAGGTTTAAAAGGAGAACTGGCAAAAACTGCACCATCCTCCATACTGGTGTGCAAAGCTGGTCGAGACTTATCCAAACAGACCTGCAACAGTAATTGCTGCCAAGAGAACTTCCTCAAATGACTGATTCCGTGGGGGTGAATTCTTTGTGTTTTTTATTATTTCAGCATATTGTATTTTTGGGGTTTCTGTTTCTGGGAGTTCTGTATGTACAGTATAGTATTCAAACTGAAGCTGAAAAAAGCTAAAAAATCTGCAAATTGGAAGGAGGATTTTTGCAAGACACTATATTCAGTACCCATCTTGACATCAAAGTGTCAGGTTTCTAGTAGTTTTCTTCCTGTTATTTTGAATTAAATTTGTTTTTTTTTAATAGCAGGGATTCCGTAATAATTGAAATTCTTGAACCCTGCACATCACATCTGGAAACAGATTCCGACATAGCCAACAAGTAGTGATTAATTACAGTCTGCTTTTTCTGTAATAGGGTTCGGGTTACTGCATTTTGACATGTCATCTGCAGCATTTTCTTCTATGTGTAAAAGTGTGCATAGCTGTCAGACACATCAGTTTGCCCGTTGACGTGATTTTCTTCAGGTTACCAGATCCCCTGATGTC